TTTTTATGTTGATGTCGTTTTTCGCCCCCGTGCGAGCAGGCTGGAACATCAAGAATCTCGGGATCCTCTCGGCGTGATACATTGGGAGCCCCGAAACGGTGCGGTGACAGACCGTGCGGTGACCTCGAGATCCCCCAAGACCTCACCGCACGGTCCGTCACCGCACGGCCTTGGGACCGTGCGGAGGTCCCTGCAGCCCGAGACGTCCTCGGATCGGGTTGGACAGACCCCCCTTCAGTAAAACGTGGTTTGGTGAAAACGACCCGAGGCCCAGACCTGGCGGGCGCGAGCCTGCGGAAATAACGGCCACGGCGCCCTCTTGAGAACCGAAAACGGACAATTCACTAATCGACGTGTCACTGTTGTCGGGAGCGGCCAAGAGGGGGGTGTCCAAGAGGGGGGGGGTGCAAATCATGACCGGCGGCATGTGCGCGGCCCAGCGGGGGGGCCAGGGACGCAATGAAATAAGAAGAGGCGCCCATGAAATCAGGGGAAAGATCATGGCCCGCGCCGTGATATCCACCCCCCCCTCGCCATCACCCCCCTCCTTTTCCACCCCCCATGTTGGGGGTTCTGCCCACCCCCGATCGGAGCACGACCCGAGCCCCCGAGCCGTGCGGCGAGCCCAGATCCCCGCCGGCTCGCCGCACGGCGTGGCCACCGCACCGCCTGCAGGGCCCCCGATAGGCGAGCCTCCCGCGGCCGGCCGCCGGGAGCCAGGGAGGAGAGGGAGAGAGGAGGAGGGCGAGGGAGGAGGAGGAGGAGGAGAGAGGAGGGCCAGGGAGGGAGGGAGGGAGGGAGGGAGGGAGGGGGAGGGAGGGAGGAGGGAGGAGGAGGAGGAGGAGGAGGAGAGGAGGAGGAGGAGGAGGAGGAGGAGGAGGAGGAGGAGGAGGGGAGGAGGAGGGCGAGGCGAGCCTCCCGCGGCCGGCCGCCGGGCAAACCGGCGCGCCGCCCCTCGAGCGAGGGGCCGCAGCGCCGTGGGCCTCCGCCCGCGGGCCGCGGGCCCTCTCGGCCGCTCCCGCGGCCTCCCGGGGGGGGGCCCTCTCGCTGGGATAGGCAGGCCCTCTCGCTGGGGTAGGGGGCCAAATCTGGGTCCTCCTCGAATCCACGAGAAGAAAGCGACGTCTTTTTGTAGAATTGACGAGGAAACGCAGCCTCCCAGGGGAGGGGGGGGCCTCTCGCTGGGATAGGCAGGCCCTCTCGCTGGGATAGGGGGCCAAATCTGGGCCCTCCTCGAACCCACGAAAAGGAAGCGACATCTTTTTGTTGGAGGTTTGACGAGGGAATCGGTTTCGGGGTACGGTCGGCCCAGAGTAGTGGGCCGAGCCTGCCAAGGCAAGGGCACCCTCGTGTCCTGTGTCTCGCGACCCATGCTTCCCACACTCCTGTGGCAGTGCTAGGGGGCCACATGCGAACCCTACCCCTGCCCCCCACGAGTTCTGAGGGGGAGGGGGGGGGTCACTTCGCGCGGGAGCTCCCGAGCAAGGTGAGCCCCAACCTCCCCCTCCGAAATCTTGGGGGGTCAGGGGGAGGGTTCACATGTGGCACCCTACGGGAGCCCCGGGGCTCGTTTCGGGACGGCGGGGGCGGTGCCCAGACCTCCAGGGGGGCCAAGGTTGCAGCAGATCGGGCACGTCCTCCGCAGCAATCAATCAAGGACGCCGTGTCTGCACGGCACATCGGCTGAAGCAGTGCCGCTGGCCGGATGCGTGTGTCCGCCATGGCACAAGGCAAAGGCAGTTCACAATCTGATGGCCCAGCGTTTGCCTGGTGGAAGAAACTGGCTGCCATGGCTCATGCTGGGAGGGCGGGTTTTGGACGAAGAATCATCCAACAAAAAATCAGAATCCCCAGAACATCTCCCCAAACAAACGTCGAAAACAAACAGAAAACAAATTATCCCAGTGCGAACCTACCTAGGAGTTGGAGCCTCTAGGAAAGCAACACTAGTAGGAGCGGTAAGGGCTCAAGATGGCCCACAGACGGACAACATGCATTGAACATAAGTTCGCACACACATATAATTACATATGTGTGTAGCAGCAGCAATAGTGGATGCGGTGCTGCGCTATGCTATGCTATGCTATGATATGCTATGCATTGATATGCTCTGCTATGCTCTGCTCTGCTCTGCTCTGCTATGCTATGCTGCGCAATGCTATGCTGGGCTGGGCTAGGCTAGGCTATGCTGCGCTATGCTATGTTGCGCTGTGCTATGCTATGCTATGCTATGTTTTTGCTTTGCCTTCGCTGTTGCCTTCACTTTTGCCTTTGCTTTTGCCTTTGCTTTTGCTTTTGCTTGGCACCCAGGGAGCGCAACTGGGGGAACCGCGCGTTCGCTTTTACCTTTGCTGTTGCTTTTGCTTGGGTCCCAAGGGACTGGGGGAACCGCCCGGGGCGGTGTGCACTGCCCGGCCCCTTTAAGCCAACAGAGTAAGAACCCTTCTAGGCAGAGCCTAGGTAGGAAACAAAACATCAATCAGAATCAGCAAAACGTTGTCAGACCAGATACCCCCCAACAAAAACAAAAACTGACAAAAGGTCGCCCCCAGCCTATTTCTTGACCATGGTCGAAGGTTCCTCCTGTAGAGGCACGGCCCCGACTTCCAACGGCGTTGTGAGCAGCCCCGAGGGGGGGGCACTGCGGTGCAGGGCCCCCCGGGCCTAATGGAGGATGACGATTAATGATTAATGAATGACCGGGGGTCGTGTTCACGCGGCGGCGCCCGGGATGACGATTAAAAAACACCGGCCGCGGGCTGCAAAGCTATTGTTTTATCGTTCTCATCCGGTACGAACATGATGCAGAAATCGCAGAAAACTAGGATTTAAATCGTTCCCTCCCATTTTTTTAATGAATCTTCATACCGCACTACGGCGCGCCAAAGAATGCAGAGGAGGAGGAGGAGGATGAGGAGGATGAGGAGGAGGAGGAGGAGGGAGGGGGAGGAGGAGAAGGGGAAGGAGGAAGAGGAGGAGGGGGAGGAGGAGGAGGAGGAGGAGGGAGGAGGATGCCCAAGAGCGGAAGCTGCAGGGTGCCCGACGCCTCAAAGGGCGCGCCGGAGAGGCCGGATTCGCCTGTGCCCCATTCCCCGCTCTCCGCTCCCCTGCCCCCGGCTCTGGAGAGTGAAAGAGCGGGGGAGAGAACGAGGGGCAGCCCCCTCCTCCTCCTCCTCCTCCTCCTCCTCCGCCTCCGAATCGGGAGCGCGCAGGCCTGGATTGGAGATCCATGGACTCGGCGCGCGGTCGCCACATCCCTGGATCGGGGGAGCGGCCCTCCCCAGAGTGCGGCCAGTGCCGCCTCGCTCGGCGGCGGAGGTCCGCGACCTCCCGTGGAAGCGGGACCCGTCGCTAGTCTGAAGTCGGGCATGTCCCCCTACAGGGGGACTTTGGGCGAAAACATAACAATATTAAAAAATGATCAGAAGACGCCGAAAAATATTCAACAAGTACTCCCCAAACTATTTTTTGACTGTTTTGAATATTCCCCTGGGACCGGCCCGACTTAACGCTAGTCCACGCCCCCTTGATCCGTGTTTGCGATCGCCTGACAGAATCCACCCCCATTCCCGGAGCGAGCTCCGACCAGTCGGGGATCTTCTGACCCGGATCAATCCAGACCCGGGTCAGTCAGGCCTTGCAGAAGCCTGCAAGATCCTGCAAGATCCTGCACCCAAACCTGGGTCCATGCGAAGGATCCTGCAGGATCCTGCAAAATCCTCACCCAAACCCGGGTCAATGCGACCCTGGCCCTGCAGGATCCTGCACGATCCCGCGCTCTGGCTGACCCCCGTCTGCTCCTCTCCGTGGTGTTCCCCGTTCTTCTCCCTCTCACTCCGTGGTGTTCCCTGTTTCCTCTCCCGTGGTGTTCCCTGTTCCCTCTCCCTGCTCTGTTCTCCGTGGTGTTCCCTGTTCCCTCTCCCTGCTCTTGCCGCTGCTGTCCACGAGCTTCCTTGCTTCACCTGCCGTGGCGGGCCTTATGTGGCTTTCGCCGCGACACCTGGCCCTGCACCCCAACAGTTTCGCAATGATGCTCGGAACGGCCGCGAAAGACGAGGCTCCCACGCCTGCATTGATCGGATCGGGCGAAAGGGGGGGGATAGCAAAAGGGGGTTTGAGAATCAGCTCACGTAGCTGATTTTCGACTATGTATCGAAGAATGGGCCCCTCGGTGGGGCCGAAACCAGCTGCATGCAGCAAATTTCGTAACCCCCCCTTTCCCAATCCCCCCCTTTCGTCCGGCCCGAATTGACCCCCGTCTCGAGGCGTCCGAACCAGGACTCCGCGGCGCAGTCCCGCCTCGGCGATCGAGGGTTCCCCCCCCCCCCCCTGGAGGCCCACAAGCTCGGGGGGCCCCCGTCGGGGGCCTCCCGCGGCCCCTGCGGGCCCTCGGAGGGCCGCGGGAGCCCCAGAAACCTGGAGGGGCAGGAGGAGGAGGAGGAGGAGGAGGCGGAGGCGGAGGCGGAGGGGAGGAGGAGGAGGAGAGGAGCGAAGAGGAAGAAGAGCAGGAGGAGAAGGAGGAGGCGGAGGAGGAGGAGGGAGGAGAGGAGCGAAGAGGCAGAAGAGCAGGAGGAGGAGGAGGAGGAGAAGGAAGAAGAGGAAGAGGAGGAGGAGGAGGAGGAGGAGGAGGAGGAGGAGGAGGAGGAGGAGGAGGGGGGGAGGCGCCGGGAAGATCGGCTGCGTGAGTTGATTCTCTACCTTACCCTTTGCTTTAAGTCGGGCCTGTCCCTCTACAGGAGGAACATCCCGAACTATTCCAAAACATAGCCAGCTCTATAGGAGGAACGTTCCAACGAAAACCTTGCGCCCCCCCCCCCCCTTGGGCGCAGAGTTATCCGGGGTAACTCGGGTCCGGGGTAACTCGGGTTTGGATTCCCGAAAAAGGAACCCGAGTTAGCCCTGACCCGAGTTACCCCTGATGATGTGGAGCTCTGGACGCCCGAGTTATCCGGGGTAACTCGGGTCCGGGGTAACTCGGGTTTGGATTCCCGAAAAACGAACCCGAGTTATCCTTGACCCGAGTTACCCCTCATAATTCGGGGCTCTGACCCCCTGACGCTGCGAGCGAGACCTCGAGGCCCTGCCGCGGCGGACGGGCTGCCCGGGGCCCCGGCATGGTGCCGGGGGGCGGGGCGGCGGCGCGCCACTCCGCCAGGCCGCCGAAGAACTCCACGAACTCCGCCCTGGGTCTCGGGAGCACATCTCGGGCCGGGCGAGAGGGGGGGATACCCACAGGGGGGGCTTGAGAATCATTTGGACGCCCGAAATGGGTACCGAAAGAATGGGTACAATGCCCAACAACAAATGTTGTCCCAAGCCAACAGCGGCCGCTGTTGGGCAGGCGACCTTCTGTCTCAAACGTACACAGGCCGCGGCGGCGTGGACAGCGAATCCTGTTCAGAATGAACAGGAACTGCTGCTGGGCATCGTACCCATTCTTTCGGTACCCATTTCGGGCGTCCAGAACAGGGGGGGCTTGAGAGTCAGCTCACGTGGCTGACTTTCCCGGCGCCTCCCCGCGCCGAGAGGCGCCCATGTATGGAGGAATAGGTCTTCTCGGCGGGGCCGAAACCAGCTGCATGCAGCAGATTTCGTAACCCCCCCTTTCCCGATCCCCTCTTTTCGTTCGGCCCGAACATCCTGGGAATGTGACGAAAATCCTGGAGGCCCCGCGCGGCAACCTGAGACCGAACTTGCGCCGGATCCTCGTCGAATTTACGTCGTGCCCACATCGGATTCACGTTGGATTCACGTCGGAACATCGCCGCGCGAACGTCGTCCCCTGTCTTAGGGGGCAGACGTGCGAACTAGATAATACAACTATTGCGCGCCGCACGAGGCCTTCGGATATTAGTCATACTGGGAGGTCTTCGTGAGAGCGCTTGAGGGCGACTTCGGCTGGCGTTGGGCAGATAGCGCGCAGCATCGACATCCGAAACATGCGCCGTCCATTATGAGGCGATCCCCCGGCGAGGGCCAGTCCTGTGCAAGCTCTCCCTCTGCAGAGTCTTCTTCGGTGCATACTACCCGAATCCCCAAGGCGGGGGGGGGTAACGTAAAAGAAGCAGGCCAGCGTCTTTGAAACGCCAACGGGAAGCCCAATTCAAGGAACCCTGAGGCCGGATGAGCCCAGACCAAGCCCAGGATCAAGCTCGAGTGATCTGGAGTAGGCGGGATTAAGCCGCACGAAGACGGGGGGGGCCGACTTGGGCCTGCTTTCGACCACGGATCATACCAGCGCCGATGCTGAATTCAACATCCGAGGAGCTGCATCCCAGCCTGGTGTACAGCTTCCCATCGGGCGCCACGCGGTACTGAGGCAGCCTCTTGCCGCCGGCGCGCCCCTCGGCGGCCTGGAAGCGAACCCGACTATCCGACGATGTGACTCTTTCAATCCAAGCGTGTTTTTTCGATTCGGGGATGGACAGACCCCCCTTTAGCAAAACGTGGTTTAGTGAAAACGACCTGAGGCCCAAACCTGGCGGGCGTAAGCCTGTAAAATGACAGCCACGGCGCCCTCTCGAGAACCGAAAACGGACAATTCACTAATCGACGTGTCACTGTTGGGGGTTCTGTCCAGCCCCGATCGATTACGGCTTCAGGGGCTCGCACCGGTCCCCAGGGTCATTAAACATTGATCAAGGGCAGAACGCTGGCCGTGTGGAGGGGGTAGGGGACCTCCTGGGCCGCGCATTGCAAAAACAGATCAGCGGATGTCAGGGAGCGGGAGCAGGAGCAGGAGAATGCACAAAAGGAGCACGGGGGAAACCACAATCGAATGACGATATCGGCTCGGATCGGAACATGCACCGGACCAGGCCGCATCCACACGGAATCGGAATCGAATCGAATCGGTCGCGGCAGGATGAACAACAACGCCGTGCAATGCATCCAGCCACAACGGATCCTCGGACAATCGAAATCGAATCGGATCGGGCCGGCTAGAATGAACATCGAATCGGGTCGATCGGATCGGGACCCTGGGGAGGACGGGGGAGGGGTGAAAGGATCACGGAGGAGCAAAGCAAAGCAGAACAAACACCCATCGAACTCTGAGTCTCATTGCTGACGGACGGAGAAGACGCATTCACCGAAGTGGCCTGTACAGCAACTTCCCACTCAGAGGAGGCCCATACAGTGGAGGGCAGTCCACGAGAAACCTTCTACAAGAAACCCAACCCTGAGACCCTAGGACGTCCATCGATTTTTGGTGTGGGAATGTCACGCTCTCCATCGCAAAACCATCGAAACCAAAGAAACCCAGGGCACCCTGGAGGCAAGCAGGGTGTTTCTTGGCATGGGCCTCCACTGCACAGCAACTTCCCACTCAGAGGGGGCCCATGAGGCGGGGGGCACCGAAGATGAGGCCGAGGAGGAGAGCACGAACAGGACGAGGAAGAGAAGGAGGGGTCAACTACGTGCCACACGATCCCCCCCTGCTTCCTTTTTCCTGGATGGCTGCTGCTGCATTGCCATGCACACGTGCTTGTATCCACCGACGCTGCGGCCAACCATTGTTCGCCCAGGCCGGGGCAGCTGCAAAGTAAAAGAGGACAGAGAAAGGAGGGATGAGGTGGAAGGAGATAAGGGAGGGAGAGGGGGGCGGGGAGGTTGTGTGTTTGTGCAAATGAAGGGGCCCTGGGACACACAAATAAATACACACAAACAACATATTCCCGATATTCTCTCATAGCTTCTCTGTTTTTGTCTTCATCCCCACTTCCCACATTTTCCATATTCTCCTGGAGATCGAAAATTAATTGTGCCTGTTTGTTTGTTTCCCCTAATGAGCAAAATATGTTCCTCCTCGGAGACAAGGACAAAGACGGGACCGAGGGAGGGAAACGGATAGGACGAGAAACCCGGAACTCCGGCGTCATGTTTGTCTCAAACTGTGGATCCTGGATGTCTGGACCCTTTCCCCATGGCTGATGTCGTGCTATCTGGGGCCGTTGGTTTTTTGAGATTCCAGATCCCCGTACACGCGCCCGTGGCCCGAAGAACGCACCAACACCCCGCTCGTCGATTTATGTTGTTGCTTCTCACTCCGAGAGGAGATGGCGCGAGAAGGAAAAAGCAAAGTGGGAGGAAGAGGAGCAGGAGGAGGAGGAGGACGAGAAGGAGGAGGAGCGGCTTATGGTGTTTGACCCCGGGTGGGCCTCGGCCCCGCAGAGCGCGTCGGCGCCGAGGGCGTCGAGGAGGCCGAGACTGGCGGTGGAGACGGCGGCCAGGAACTCGGGCGAGTGCGGGTCCGCCCCGCCAGGCAGCCGAACCTCAGAGCGTAGGACCAAGGCTTGAGGAGTCGGGCGTGTCCCCCTACAGGGGGATCTTCGACGAAAAAATTAAAATACTACACAAATGCCCCCCGAATCCTCCAAAAGGGTCAACAAATAGTACCCCGACCATTTCTGTATTATTTTTGAGCATTCCCCCTGTAGAGGGACAGGCACGACTTGAACCAAGGCAATGCTTCCCATCCAGCCATGCCCCACTTCCTCTCGTTTGGGGGGCAACAATCACATTGGGCGGTTTTCATACACCGTCGGCTTCCCAGGGCCGTCGCCGGGCCTCTGGGCCGTTGAACAACCTCTCGGGGCGACAACGTTTTTTGCCTGTCATATCACAACAAGTGCAACATCATGTCAACTCTGAATGGAATGATTACTAAAGCAACTACATGTCAACACAAGTGCGATATAATCGGCATATATTGGTCTTGGGATCCTCCTTTGGTCTCGGACTGAGTATGCCCAACTATTCGGGCACCCCTGGTCCAGTTCGCCCTCAGCGTTTCGGCGTGTGGTTGGCCATCATCTTCAGGGCCTGCCACAACCAACCGCACGGGGCATGCCGACGATGTCACGAACGACATCCCTGTTTCCGCCGTAGGGAAAACACCACGCGTACCTCTTGAATGCAAGATACACTGTGTCTGGCTGTTCTGGGACTCCTTCGTACACACCAAAATTGCCAGAAGATGTCCAGCAAAGCTCTTGGAACCTGCTGTTTTGGCCTTCGGAAAAGGGGGGAAACAACTGCCCCCTCTTTCGTGACACCGTCACGCCTGGCGGACTGGCCGCAGGTGCCCCCTTTTTCCTTGAATGTCTGAACCCCCCGCCCCCGTGACCAGAGCACTGACAAGAGCACAAGACGGCGGAGCCGACTTCACAGCATGCATGCCGGAATCTCTCTGCAACACGCGCAGGCGTGCCGGAATCTCTCTGACTGATGGGGAAAAAGGCTGCGCCGCGGAAATCGAGCTCCTGGTGGGTTTCGGCTGATCACCCGTTATTGGCCTGTCATATCACAACAAGTGCAACATCATGTCAACTCTGAATGGAAGGACTCTTAAAGCAACTACACGTCAACACAACTGCAATATAATATGCATTATCTTGGTCTTGGGATCCTCCTTTGGTCTCGGACTGAGTATGCCCAACTATTCGGTCACCCCTGGTCCAGTTCGCCCTCAGCGTTTCGGCGTGTGGTTGGCCATCCTCGTCAGGACCTGCCACAACCAACCACACGGGGCAGGCCGACGCTGTCACGAACGACATCCCTGTTTCCGCCGTAGAGAAGACACCACGCGTACCTCTTGAATGCAAGATACACTGTGTCTGGCTGTGTTCTGGGCCTCCTTCGTACACACCACAATTTCCAGAAGATGTCCAGCAAAGCTCTTGGAACCTGCTGTTTTGGCCTTCGGAAAAGGGAGGAAACAACTGAAAAGCCAATCCAAGGGAAGAGGTCCAGATCTCCGGGGGCCATATTTTGAAGAAAACGCTACATCAGAGTTCTGGGAGACCATACACACCAGTCTGAAGAATGGGGCAACAACAAGAAGTATAGGAGGGCATCGGCAGGGGACAAAAACACTCGATCTTTGAACTGAGAATGCGCCTGAAGTGGCTTGGAACATTGGGATTCACCAGTATCCGGCGTTAGCGGGACTGGGTTTGGTGGGGCCTGGTTTAGTTATGGTTACCAGGAGACGTCACCCCCCCATTCCACTGACTGGAACTGCCATTACGAAAAGAAAAACAGCTACAGCATACCTGAACTAGTGATTCCAATCCATATTTTGGGGCCTGGCGCCCAATCACTATCCTTAAGTCGGGCGTGTCCCCGTACAGGGGGATTTTGGACGGTAAATTTAAACTATTAAAACAATACTCCAAAATTGTCAAAAAAAGCTCAAAAAATAATCCCCCGACTATTTTTTGACTACTTTGGAATATTCCCCCTGTAGAAGGACAGGCCCGCCTTAACATTATCCTGCTCCCCACAACAGGGGTCCTGGCTATCCCCGACTAATCCTCTGTCAACGACCGACGTGTAATGATCCGCGGCCCACCAGCAACGTCGCATGCGCGGACTGATCCAGGTTATGCTTAGGTCGGGCCTGTCCCCCTACAGGGGGATTTTGGACGGAAACAAAATAATCAAAAAATGCTCAAAGCATGCTCAAAAATACGCAAAACAAATCTCCTGACGATTGTTTGACTATTTTTGTATATTCCCTCTGTAGAGGGACAGGCCCGACTTAAGGTTGTGCTCATATTCCTCGCCGACTTCAGAGTCGGCGCAAGACGTCTACACCCGCTGCGAAGAAGCAACGCAACCAGACTCACCGCCCTCATCGAAGATATTTTCGGGCACCATCAACGCCGCTGTCGTAGCGACGTGTTGCGATCAAGTGTGCGTCGGTGTCCTCGGAGGCAACAGGCCTTCTGTAGAGGAGGGGGGCCCTCCGCAGGCTTGTTGTCGCCTTCGGGCCCCTGCGGCACCCCGACTTAGACATCCGACGATGTGACTTTTTCCCATGCGCGGCCCCACGGGTCCAGACCCCCTCCCTGGGGCAAGCTCTTATCGCCTCGGATCCGTTTTCTGGATGGCCCCGGGGCCCGGTGACGGCCCCAGAGGCCGACATCGAGGAAAGACGCCCGGACTGAGACTCAGAGCCTCGGAATTCAGCAGGACTGCACCCAAACGGTGTTTTTCGTTTTCGTTTTGGTTTCCTTTTCCCTCATTTTGTCTTCAATCCGCCTTTAACGCAAAACGCCATCGAAACGAAAACCGCCCACGAAATCGCCAAAACACCGTCTAGGTCCCCCCCTGGAATGTAATTCTTGGGCCATGACCCCACTTTCTGGCGGCCGTTCGAGAAACGGTCCGGACGCCCCCGGCACACCCTCCGCAGGGCGCCGCCGCCGACGAACATCTCGGGAGCGGACGAACATCTCGGGAGCGGCCAAGAGGGGGGGGTCCAAGAGGGGGGGGTGCAAATCATGACCCGCGGCATGTGCGCGGCCCAGCGGGGGGGACGGGGACGTAATGAATCAAGAAGAGGCGCCCTGAGATCTGGGGAGATATCATGGCCCCCGCCATGATATCCCCCCCCCCTAGTCATCACCCCCCTCTTTTCCGCCCCCGAACATCCCGAGGCTGAGGCTGGCCGCCGGGAGCCGACGACAACGGTCGGGAGACCTCGCGCCTCCGCCCTCGAGCGGTGGGCGCCGACCCCACGGCGGCTCGGCGACTGCGCCGGAGGCGCCGGCCCAGAGCGGGGCGGCCGAGCACCGCTCTCCTTTTCGCCCGTGGCGCTGCGGGCGGGGGCGCAGCGCGCAGGTGCGCGGCGCGCGCGCGGGCGCCACGCTTGCGCGGGCGCAGCGGGGGGAAACCGGGGACGTCACGTCTGTTTCGTGCGCAGGCTCTGGCGTCCACGGTGGCCCGCAACGTGAGCGGGGGCCGCCCGCGGCAGCCGAAGCAAACGAGCAGCCAGGTTCCAAAGGACGTCGTTCGTCCTCCTTTCCCTCTTCCTCCTCCTCCTCCTCCTCCTCCTCCTCCCCTCCTCCTCCTCCACCTCCTCGTCCTGCTCCGCCTTCTTTTCCTCCTCCTCCTCCTCATCCTCCTTATCCGCCTCCCCAATATCCTTCTACTTGTCCTCGCCCTCCTCCTCCTCCTCCTCCTCCTGCTCTTCCTCCTCCCCTATATCCTTCTACTTGTCCTCCCCCTCCTCCTCCTCCTCCTCCTCCTCCTCCTCCTCCTCCTCCTCCTGCTCGCCCTCCTTTTCGTCCTCCTCCTTCTTCTCCTCCTCCTCGTCCCTGTCCCTCCCTCGCCGCCCAGGTCGCAAACCTCGCCTCCCACAAATCGCCAACTGGCATCCCCCCCCCCCTCGTCCCCCGTCCCGTCCCCCTTCCCGTCCTCCTCCTCCTCCTCCTCCTCCTCCTCCTCCTCCTCCTCCTCCTCCCCGCGCACTGTCTCAAGAGCCACCTGACGTACTCATGTTCCGAGCAGGCCTGACACCTCTGGTAAAGGATGGAGGAAGCTCCATCCGAGCAGTTGGGAAGCACATGTCTGCAGCAAACGCGTGAGAATATGAGGGTCAATCTTCTGCAGTCCCGACACATTTTAAATGCTCCCTGCATGCGAGGCCCCACCACCTCTTCTCATACTGTGCGTGATTTAGTCGTCGCCACGGGCAGTGTTGTGAGGACTTGGACTGGCTGCGCGGGTTCGTGCTGGATCTAGTTTCTACGTAGGAGGACACCTAAACATTAGATGCACCCTAGAAACACCTTACATATATACATACATACATACATACATACATACATACATACATACATACATACATGCATACATACATACATACATGCATACATACCATAACACAACACACCACAACACAACATAACATACCATACCATACCATACCATACCATCACATAGCATAGCATAGGATAGCATAACATAGCATAACATAACATCCATCCATACATGCATACATACATATATACATATATATATATATATGACATTTAACAATGCTTCCAATGCTGCATTAACTGATTCGCTTTGCGTTCTGAAACGTAGTCCATATCACGAACATGTTAGGTGTATTGTCCTTGATTTGCGTGGGACTGTTCAGGACATCGTGCATACTTGTTGGTATGCGATGTTATATGTGCTTCGACGTGATTGTTCTGGTCTTCCGTTATTGCTCCGTGAATCCCACCAGCCCTCTGGGCGTCGGTGGTTTAACGAGTTTCCTCTTCCACCCCTCCTTCTTCCCCTTCGGGGAGGGGTTTACCCCTCCCCCTACCCCCTCCCCACTGACCTGGACAAGGGGGGCCGCGGGTAGTTAGAGCGTCCAAAACGGCCTCGGCGAGGAAGCCAAAATCATTGATTTTACTATGCTTTGGGCCCCATTTTGGCCTTCTGAGGGGGGGGGGGGCTGAAATTTAGGACCCCCCCTTCTTTGATCGATTTCCTCCACGATGGCCGCAAGAGGCCCCCAGGATGCCCCAAGAGGCCGCAGGATGGCCCCAAGATGGCCCCAAGAGGCCCCCCAAGAGGCCCCCAGGAGGCCCCCAAGAGACCCCCAAGAGGCCCCAAGAGACCCCCCCAGAGGCACCCAAGGTGCTCCCAGAGGCCCCAAGATGGCCCCGAGAGGCCCCAAGAGGCCCCCAAGAGGCCCCAAAAAGGATTCCGAACGGCCCACAGAGGACCCCCCGAGGCACCCAAGACGCAGAAAAGCCCCTCAGGACGACCCTCTACTCGCCTGGGCGTCGTTTCTGGACGGGCTGGTGGGGATACGCGAAGCGTCTAGTATTGGTTGGTTCGTCGCATTGCCAATTGAATCATCGAACAATACGTCGGGTCATGCGGACCCAAAGAAACATGCGCGCGCCGTTTGTATGTCCAACTTCAGGTGCGGTTCGCACAAGCTCACCGCATGTACTATACAGTGCGCGGCGGATGGATCATGTTGTGCTCTCACAGTGGGAAAATCATCACGTTGGCCAGAATCGAAATACAAAGATACCGCGGGCGCCGATGATATTCCCAACATTACATAACGTGCGCTTGTACACATCGCCACCATTCGGTAGAACGCGCAACAAGCGCGCTGGCGCGTCACTGTCGAGACAAACCGTTCGATCTGTTCACTTGCGATGGAAAACTTGCCGCACTCGCGTCGACTGGGCGATCCGCGTCCGCATTCGCGCGACGTTCTGAATTGTCCATTATACAAAGCATACAACAGATACCATGCGCACGTCGAATTGCATCGGTCACCGTTGAGGTGTCGCTACTAGTTTCCAGGCCAACATGCCGACGTTTCTAGTGTGGACAGCGCAAGAGGGGTACTGCATCGTCCATCATGCCAAACATATCCCAAATACCATGGAAATCCCACAATTCATGCTTCACTTTTTTCCAGGCCAACATCCCGACTTTTCTGTTGTGGAACTTCCGGCAGCGCTCCCCAAGCGCGAGCAGACGCAGGCGCGCGTGGGGAATCCCACCAACCCTCTGGGCGTCGGTGGTTTAGGGAGTTTCCTCTTCCACCCCGCCTTCTTCCCCTTCGGGGAGGGGCTTACCCCTCCTCCTACCTCCTCCCCTGAACCTGGACGGGGGGTTCCGCGAGTCGCCGGAGCGTCCAAAACGGCCTCGGCGAGGAAGCCAAAATCATTAGTTTGACTACGGTTTTGGCCCCATGTTGGCCTCCTGAGGGGGGGCCCTAATTAATGCTCCCCTCTTGTTTGATCGATCTCCTCCAAGATGGCCCCAAGAAGCGCCCAGGAGGCCCCAAGAGGTCCCAAGATGGCCCCAAGATGGCCCCAAGAGGCCCCCAAGAGGCCCCCAGGAAGCCCCCAAGAGACCCCCTACGAGGCCCCAAGAGACCCCCCAGAGGCACCCAAGATGCTCCAAGAGGCCTCGGCGAGAATGCCAAATCATTGATTTCACTAAGGTTTTAGCCACATGTTGGCCTCTTGGGGGGGGGGCACTGATTAAGATGACTCCAAGAGCGCCTGGGAGAGCCCAAAATGACCTCCAAGATGGCTCAAGACATCCCAAGATGTATCAGAATGACTTCCTCTGTGTGCTGCCCACTTCCCTGATCGAGGCAATTCCTGTGGGCATCGTTTCTGGATGGGCTGGTGGGGATTCGCGAAGCGTCAACAATGTTGTTTTTCCACAATACGAAACATACACCAGAACCCATGTAAGCTTTGAACATCATATCTGCCACTGTTAAGCGCTAGCCCTAGCTTTGAGGTCAACATGGCGACTTTGCTATTGTTGACAATACATGCGTCCACACGCGCGCGCCGGGAACTCCGCCCTCTCAAAAACGCAAACATCCTCCATAAAGCATGCTAATATGGAAGTCTTATCGGTCACCTGTAGAGACCCGCTCTGGTTCCCAAGCTAGCATGACGACTTTTCTGTAATTGACACTACAGAACTACCCACGCGGGCGCGGGCGTTGGGAATTCTGTATTGTCCATGATACTTGGAAATCTACTCCGTCACCGTTAAGGATTGGCTTTCCCTTCCAGGCCAACATGCAAATCTTCTATAGTGGGCAATACAGAACTCCGAGACGGCCCAAAACGTGCGCCAGGGCGCCCAAGATGGTACCAAGGCGGCCCAAGAGGCTCCTATGAGGCCCCCAAGAGCGCTCCCCGAGCACCCAAAGAGGGGCCCAAGAGGCCAACATCTGCGATGTTCCATCAGTTGTCGATGGACTTTGGCACGCCCAGATCTCCCCTGGCCCCTGCTCGGAGCTCCGACGCTGTTCCACGACAACGCCCAAGCCTCACAACACAGCTCTTGCATACCCCACTCTCCGACCGGCGGCAGGGGGCGAAGCCCTTCTGGATATCGAGAGGGTGAGGGCGGCGCATGAGCAGAAGGGAAGACGAGGACGAGGATTTAGGAAGGGAAGCGACAGGCAACCACATGCGAACCCGACTCCCTGCAAGTCCGATGTCTAAAAAACAAGCTGGGATTCAGAACCTGTGCATATGCAACCAAGCGAAATCCAGCGTCGATTGAACCCGTGGGTCTCGATCGGGTGCGTAGGGCGTCCGATACAAAAGTGTCGATCGGACCCGTAAGGGTAGAGTTCACAAGTGGTCGCGGAGACGAAGCAGAAGGGTGGGGGGGATGAGGACGTGGGGGCTGCGATCTCGAAGCTGAATCGCGCAAGCACAGCTAAGGAGCGAACTGTAGCCGGGGGCAACTCCATCACCTACACCTGCGCATCTTATTCCGCAAACAACGGCATGCAAGCACAGCCTCTGCGAGAATGCTCGAGCAAAAACGGCCGCGGATATCTGAGCCCATATTTCGCCACCGACGCCTTCCTTAGGAGGACGAGGATGAGGAGGAGGAGGAGGAGGAGGAGGAGGAGGAGAAAGAGGAGGAGGAGGAGGAGGAGGAGGAGGAGGGAGGAGGAGGAGGAGGAGGAGGACGAGGAGGAGGAGGAGAAGAGGAGGAGGAGGAGGAGGAGGAGGAGGAGGAGGAGGAGGGAGGAGGAGGAGGAGGAGGAGGAGGAGGAGGAGGGAGGAGGGAGAGGGAGGACGAGAAGGAGGAGGGAGAGGGAGGAGGAGGAGGAGGAGGAGGAGGAGGAGGACGAGCCAATTCGCTAGAATTCGCGACGACGCCCGGGACGGGCTCTGGCCCCCCCCTCTCCCACAGACTTTTGGCCGCTCTTCGCCAATCCTAGGTGACGCCCGCGCGAATCGTGACGACACCGGCCCCTTCTTCTCCCCCTGACCTCCCCCGCGACGCGCGTCATCGCCAGTGGAGAGAAACACAAAAAACACGGACCCCCTGCCCCGTCCTCCTTCCCCCCATCCCCCGCATCCACTCCGCTGCCCCATCCTTCCCACCCTCTCCCTCCCTTAGGAAGCGCGACGAGCCGCAGCAGCACCCACGTCGTCTCCTGATTCTTGTCAGGGTGCCACCTCAGGAGCAGATGCCGTAAGTTGCGCTTGCGCCACTCGAGGTCCTGCTTGGGGGTGCGGAGAGGGCGAGGCGCAACGAGGGCCCGGAGGACAGTTACGGGGACTGGGGGGGGGGAAAGGGGGGAGAAGGAAGAGAAGATGAGGAAAAGGAAGGGGACGGCGGGGAGGGAGGAAAATGGAGGAGGAAAAAGAGGAGGAGGGAGAGGGAAGAGAGATTCGGTTGGACTCTGATTCGGAGCCGATTGGACTGCTACTGGATCGAAGTCTCTGGTAGCAGCTTGCATTCGTGCAGCCGCAAGCTCTTCTCAAGCAGTTGCCGTTGCCGATTACACGCCGCGCGGAATATTGAGCGATACTGTCGAATCAAGTAAAGCTACTGGATATGTTCAACTAGTCTATGCAGATCCCGCTGCTTTACTGCTCGGCACTACTGCTGTCTTGGCTGCCCAAAAGGAGAGCCGTATCAGGGCAGTGGGTTAAGAACGCCTTCGTCCTTGGATGGGAATAATTATATCAGTAATCTAGGCCGTGCTCGTCGACCAACTTGCTGAACATCGTGATGAGGTCGAATCCTGACGACCCACCGTGGGACTGCTGACGCCCTTCTTCGGGTAGCCCTCACCCTCGCGCGTCGGAGCTTGGGCCAGCCCATATCCCACAAGTTGGTGTCAGCCATGGTTATCCTCCCCTCCTCGGGTGCTACGTAGTCGAACTCATCAGAAATCTGGACATGGGAGGTGATGCCGTTAGCGATGGTGTCCATTTGGTTGACCCAATTGCCGTTGGTGGTGCTGCCCATCTGGTCGATGGTGTTGTCGCTGGTGATGGTGTCCGCCTTGTCGCTGGTGCCCATCTTGCCGCTGGTGATGATTGGTCGTTGTGCCCTGCGCGGTGGCGCCCAGCATGTACTCCAGGATGCCGGTGAAAGCCGTGCCCATTGTGATTCTGGTGATGGTGACCCTTTCCCGTTGGTGCCCATCTTGTTGCTGGTGATGATGTTGTGATTCGCAGGTGCCCGTGTTGGAGGTGGTGCCCGTCTTATCGCTGGTGATACACCTGATCTCGCCGGGCGCTTCGTTTGCCTCGAAAGTGTTTTGGGCGGGCTTCACGGTGGAATCTCGACCTCTACGGCCACGCCTTGGCGCGCCACTGAAGCCTGCACGCAGGAGGTCTTCCGCAACGAGGGAGAAGCTCATTGCACCCACGTTTTTGCTACCAGGTACAGGCGGGTTATTGCGCACAGGACGCGCGACAGGACACAAGACTCTTCCGACGGCAACGTGGCCTCCCAAACCACAGGACGCAAGGGTACCCTGCCCTTCGGCCGCAGAGGACACGACGCGCGATGCACAGGACACAAGAGCACCCTTGATTTCGCATGGCCGACCTACTAATGGAACCCGACTGTATTGCCTGGAACCTCAGGGCCTCAAGCCGCAAGGGGGCGCCATTGCGTCCGCCATTGGGTCTCTGGACGACGGCTCCGCCAGCGAGGCCTCAGCCACAGTGGCTCGAAGGGTGAAGGAGAGGCAGGAGCTGGAAGGAGTGGAACAGGCCGAGGAGGAGGAGGAGGGAAGGACAGGCGGAGGAGGAGGAGCAGGAAGAGGAAAAGGAGTAGGAGGAGGAGGAGGAGGAGGAGGAACACGGAGCTGATGCGCAAAAAATGCATTGCGCCGCCATGGGGAACTCACGCGGCGTGCCGAAAAAAAAAGTTACAGAACATACAAGCCGGCTGCGTCGCGCCGCGCTGCTCGCACACAGAGAACGCAGGGCCGAACGGAAACCCGACGAGGGGCCCGACTGAAGGAAACGAAGACGGCTAACATTGGAGGGCCCGAGGGACCGCGAGAAGCAGGCGGACAAGGACCACTACTGCACGTCGAAATCGCGATGCTCGCAACTGCCCGCTGTCCGTGGCCTCGCCAATTACCGGTGTTTGTCCTGGTGCTGCGGCAACACTGCCGAGCTCGAGGGCTCGATGCCGTACACGGTCACGCGTCGCAGTCGCCAATGTACTCCGCCATCAGCTGCAATAGACTCCCATCTGTTTCCATACATCTGCTGAGAGAGACTCCCACCAATATTGAAACGCGTTGCTCAAAGACCCCACCAGAATTGAAATACTCTGCGAGAGACTCCTCCAAATGTAATACCACTGCTGAGAGATACGACCAACGACTTCAATCACTTCTAAGAGATCCCCCCACATCCTGCACCAACTCCTCATCAGGCGTGAACTTTTTCCGCGGCCCAACTGACCCTCAAGGCCACGGGAGATCTCACAACCTAGAGACTCCAGCACCGCGCAAACAAAACGCCGTCGATGGGCGCGCCTGGTTGCCTGGGACAGCCAGCCTCACGGTTCAGTCCAGGCAGAGAGTTATTCTTCCATGCGCCCTGCTGCGCTGAGCCAGCGTTGACGACCCCGCCGAACCCCTTGAAAATGTTCTCGAGTCAGCACGGTTTGACGAAGTCTGGCGGGTGCCCCACCGCTGCCGTCGCCCACGTCTCGGGAGTAGTCTCGTTGACATGTCCGACCTCTTTCTCGGCCAGCGCCTCGACCATCCCTGCGGGCGCCACGGCCGTCGGCGGTTCCAACTCGCGCAGTTCCGTCTGGGTCGTTGCGGCATCGGCGCCCGCCCCTGCCTCGGCCGCCTTCGCCTCGCCCTTCAGGCGCTCGATGTTGCCTCGCATCGCTTGGGCACCCGCTGCGAAGGCCCGGCTCTCGTGTTGCATCGCTTTCGCGACTTTGGAGTTCGTCTCCGCCGGCGCCGCCTTCGCCCGCGCGCCCCGCGAGGCGCGGCTGCGCTGGGCGAGCCGCGTGACATGGGTCGCGGGCAGGAGGATGAGCTCGCGCAGACCGCCGTCCTCCGTCGCGAACTTCCGCCCCTCGTCGGCGCGACGGCGCCGCGCCCCCCTCCTCCGCGCAGGCTTCGCCCTGGCTGCCACCCCCTCCTCGCCTGCCGCTCCGAGAGCGACTCCCCCTCGCCCTTCTGCTTCGCGGTTGCCGGCGGGCTCGGGCGGCTGCCCACCGTTCAGACGAGCCCCCCTGGCGCCAGGATGCCTGCCACCCCCCCTTCCTCCCGCCCACTTCCATCTTCGCGGATGCGTCGGGGGTCGGCGCCAGCAGCGATCGGGCCAAGGAACGCGCGGAATGCGCTGCCCCGCGCACGAGGTGGCGCAGCAGGCAAAGGCGGTGCGATCAAGCTACTGCGCGGGGCGCAGGCCTGGCGCCGGTCTGGGGTCGACGACTGCAACTGGCGGGCCCGCCTCCGGCGGCGATAGAAAGGGCGCAAGTGGTGGCGGAATGACGAATGCGATGGGCACGACGCACCACGAGCCACGAACTTGGCGTAATGCGGGCCTGTGAACGCCCAGGGAAACGCAGTGTTATTGTGAACGCAGCGCCCTGCGTGCCATGCTCACGCAGGGTGTCGCACTGCTTCGATGCGATTATGAGGCGTGGTGACGCCTCGCTGCTTCGCCCACCACGTCCTCCACCCTGGCTCTGAGTATCGTGCGCTATAAGTGCTGCTCGCGACTTGAACGACTCTCCGCGACGCGCGCCATCCCCCATGGCGATGGTGCACGCGGAAGACGGAGGTGATCCTTCCCACGTTTCCTCGCCGTCGCACTACGCAGGCACAGGGTCCGCCGACGGCGCGGGGGGATTCCGCGCAGACGCCGCGAGTGCCGCCCAGAAGGGGCGCAGATCGAACGCCGGCAAGTAGCAATTCACGCCGGCATGCCTGAGGACCTCGCGCACGTCGCCACTCCGGGCCGCCGCAGCATCCTCGTCCTCGGGGCGCGACGTGATCATCTGCATGCCAAGTTGCGCCAACAGAGGGCGCGCACCAAGTATCATGTGGCTCGCTATTTGGCGTCAGATCTGATGGGCACGAGTACTCCGCTTATGAAACTCCCGTTTCACGTCGCCGAGAGAAGGCCGAGTCTGCCGTGCCTTCAGACGTTGGACGGTTGCCGGGAGCGAAAGGCACTGGCTGACAGTAGCGGTGGGCCTTCCGAGACGAGAGCGAATGCACCTTGGCCATCCGCGAACGCGGCTGCCCCGTCCATCGGCGAGCGGAATTTTTTCACCAGCGATGCGCAGATAATGCCTCTGACCAGCGAGATGCAAATCAGGAATGGAAATCCGCCCCTTCACTCTCAGCTGCGCGTTCGAGGTCCGGAAACCCTTGGCCATTGGCCACCCGCGGCTCAGGCCTGGGCCCAGACCTTCGGCTCGCTCGCGTAGCTGCCCGCAGCGTTGAACCAGGCGCCCAGATGCTTCAGCTCGTCTGACTGGCGCCCCGACCTCATCAGGTCAGTGATGACCTGGCGCGTGCGTTGGCGGGCTTGGGGCGCAAGGGCCACGTCC